GCTTACATGTGAGTGGGGGAGAGTGCATACACGTGGCCAGATATCAATGTCAGATATCATCCTTGGTCATTGTACACCTTATTTTTTGGGACAGAGGCATTTAGTGAACCTGTAGCTTCACCAGTATACCTGGACTGGCTGGCCAGTGAGTTCCAGGGATCTGCCTGTCTCCATTTACCTCAGCTCTTGAGTTACAGACATGTGCTGCTCTGGACTTTTATATGGATGCTAGACATTCAAACGGGTTCTCACGTCTATGCAGTAAGTACTCTATCAACAGAGCCATCCTTCCTGCTCCTTGTCATTTACTCTTCATCAATCTCCTCTCTTTCTCCTTGCAGTTTAAAGAAATTCCCTGACCAGTCTTGCAACTTCATCTCATCTGCACACGCCAAGGAGGAAACAAGGGTGTGAGCTATCTGTAAAGAGGTGGTCTCTGCTTGCAATGGCCAGTAGAGATCACAAGAAACAAAAAGTCAGATGAGAATGGCCAGACAGGGGTTAAGCAAAGACCCACGGGCCAGGAAGAGTCAAACTCCTGGAAAAAACAAAGACTGGAAACATCCTTGCGGGCCCAAAGATCCATATCCTTTGGTGTAGGACACAGCGTCTAGGATACAGGGAAGCTGTATGTTAAATGTGAAACCTGGGAGGAGTGGAGGTGCTTAGGCAGAGATTAGGGAAGACGGGAGAAGTCATTTTGCTTTAGGTACATTATTAATCATCTAATAGAGTCCTGACATCACACTGAGTGTTTCATGTTCTATAGAGATCCTGCAGAGAGCTAGGAAAAGATTTATTTCTCTTCTCTCTGAGTTTTGGTTGGGTCCTCTTTTCCATCTCTTTCAAGTGAACTTAGGTCATGAAACTTTCTTTGGCTAATAGGTATGGGCTTTACAGATGCATCCCTTGTGGGTAGACGCTTCAGGAGTCGTCTCTAGATTCTCTTAGCTTCAATAGGGGCAAAGACCACTAGGATGGGCATTTCTTTCCATCCATCAGGAAGACTCAGAAGAGGAGGAATCCTCCCAGCCTGCGCAGATGAGGAGGGTGATGAAAATGTCTGCCTGTTGCATAGAGGATATTTGTTCCTGAAATATAGAGACTATCCCATTTAATCACCATTGCAAAACCATGACTTTTAAATGTGACTGTGCATGTTACATACTTTAAGCCTTCACCTACAGTTGCCATATTTGCTGAAAATGATGCAAAACCCAAACTCAGGTTTGTCTCACTAGAACCTTTCCTTACTATCACTTTAGCTAGACCCAGTGGTCTGCACAGGGAAGAAAGCCAGGCTGCTGCTTCTTCCCCATAACCTGGAAACTCACCCAGCTGGCATAAAACTGAAAAAGAGTGGAGCAGACTCATCTCACCCTCTTCCCAATAGGAAAGTATAGCAGAAAGCTCGAGAACAGTAGAGTGCCACATGCCGCGCTGTCCTCTGAGAAGATCAAGAGCTTCAAAGGGACCCAGACTAGGGAGATTCCGGGGGTGGCTCCTGCCCAGGTTGCTTTACCAAACCACAATCCTTTATATTATTTCTCCTCAAGAAAATACTAGAACCCCACAACAATATGATAGTCATTGCTTTTCTCTCATGCCACAGGAATTCTAGAACAGAACAAGACGCAAAACACTGTAAGCCAGTGGTTCTCAACCTGTGGCTCGCGACTCCTTTGTGGGGGTCTCATATCACAACATCATGAAATTGCAGTGACGAAGTAGCAACAAAATGATATTATGGTTGGGGGTCACCACAACACAAGAAACTGTATTAAAGTGTTACATCATTAGAGGGCTAAGAATCAATGCTCTAAGCACCAAGAGCCTCACTCATAAAAAGCAAGACGATATTCTGCATGCAACCAAAAATTTCATTTTCCTCAAATGCACAAGCTGAGTTTGAAGTTCAGAGTTCAGGGCATGTAACATTCCTTCTTACACATTCTAACTGTGCTTTAGGAATGAAAAATTCCCTAAATATATTCATATCTTTTAGGTGGCTAAGCCAGGTTTTTGAGACAGCATCTTGTTTTGTAGCCCAGACTGGCTTTGGACTACAGATAATGTGGCTTCAGCATCCTGAAGGCTGGGATCACAGACACATGAAACTGTCTGGTCAGGTATTTATTTTCACTCCGTGGCCCCAGTTGACTCAGGACCCACTAAGTTGCCCACGCTGTCCCTGCCTACTCAGCACGCCTGGTGCTGGGACTATAGGCATGCAACCATCACAGCCTTCTATGTACTTACAAATCTTCATTTTAAGTATCAGCTAACTAATGAAAGGAATCAAGTTTAAGATCAATTGAATGTATTCCAATCCAACTCATGTCACTTTCTTTCTGCATAACCTGAGATCCATCTGATGTCTTTCAGCCAAAGTAAGAGATAAATTACTCTCACTTTTAGCAAAGTGGGTAGAAATATATTATTTAGCTGTCACTTTACACGGTGTTATTGACTTTCAGATTAAGCTGTGCCTCTACAGCCTGGCTAGAATCCACACACTGCCGCTTTTCATCTCGGGGAATTCCGTTACTTGTGATGACTAAATGTATGTGTCATTTGGAGCCATAATTTATTTATTCCTTTAATATTTAGATTGGCTTTCAAAGCACCAAACAACAGAATAGGCTGCTTCCAGGCATCTGGTCTCCATCATAATTATTTCTTCATTTATTTCAACTTAATAGAAATGGTGGTCATCTTTTTGATGAGACAGACAAGAGGGTTTTAGACAGAAGTGTGGTTTATAAGCCACCCTCGACTTTGTATGATACCTTCAACTTGCTCCCTGCAGCAACTGAACTAAAGGTGCCACATAGCTTCAGCGTGCTGTTTACAATGAACTTATATTGATATGTTCATGCTTTCTGTAGCAACTATATGCCGGGCTACATTGGTTATAAGCTTTTAAATCTCACGTGCTGAATTATAAACTAACAGCAATCTGCCTAAACATCATAGCTTATAAAACAGGATATATAAGTATGAGTGCTTGAATTTGAATAAAATTGTATCTGCATATGACTTTGACTCTTCATAACATGTGCATAAACACTAACTCTTTAAGATGTCAGTATTTCAAAGGGGTCGGAGAGTAAACCAAAAATAATTTGAAACAAAAGCTCCATTTCTGATTCAAGGTAAATATAGAAGAAGCAAGAATCTACATCTCATATAAACATAGTTTTAAAGGCAAAGTAAATGACACTCTGATTTAAACATCAAATGGGGCACATGATTTTCTTTAATCAATGCAGTGCTCTTTAGGGCATCCGAGGGAGGGAAAGTGCAGATGCTCACACACTTGTGAGCATAACCAGACCTCCTTCGCTTCATCTCTCATCCCAGGAGAGCTGAGCATCCCACACTTACAGCAGAAAGGGGAAGCTGCTGTGGTCCACTAGGTAGACCTGATACTTTGAATCAAAACAAAAAGTGGGAAAGCATTTCAGTAGAACGCAAGCAGCAGCATCTGTGACTCAGGAAGACACACTCACAGAAGGTTGCACTATTGATTCTCAGGAAAAGTATAAAAGCAATGAGCCAGCCTAAAGCAACCACTGCAAATGAACACAGTTCTGATGAAACGAAAATGAAGCACATTCCATCACCACTCGGAGGCCTCAGGCTGGGGCCAGGTTTCTCACGAGCACCCAGAGCTAAATCTCTCGAAGATGCTGTTTCTCTCGATCCTCTACCAACTCCAGACATTACTTCAAACATCATCCTGGAGCGAGCATTTTAAAACAGGTACTGCTGTTACCTTTTCCAACAACCAACTTGCACTTACAGTTCCTGCAATCCGCGACTGCCCCTGTTTTAAGGACCCAAGGCATCCTTTTGGTTCTCTCCACACAAAGCAGAGCCTGTTACTCAGCTCAACTAGGAGCTTTAAATAAGGGCTTAAGAATTAGTCATTCCTGTGACTTAATCAGGTCCTCAAAAAGGCACGGGCTGTCCTTTCTGCTCCTAACAGAAATACCCATTTCCACGCTTCTTTCCAGGGACACTGTTGGCGAGGCAAAGCTCGGAAAGGGCTTTCGGGGCCAGATGGGATTCAGGTGGGTACAGCGCTAGGGGACGCAAGTTTCAGGAGTTTCCCGTCTTATCTTTTTGATGTGGTGTCATAAAAACCTCCACATTCCACTAAGGGACTCAGTTTGGACTCTGCAGGTCTGCTAGGGGCGGCAGCAGTTCTCTTCCTGTTGCTGGCACACATTTGTTTCATTTCAACGTCTGGTTAAGGAGATACTGATGGGTCAAATGTTTTAAGTGTGGATTCCCAAAAGGTCCTTGTTGAAGGACTTTTCTTCTTTCTAGAATGACCCAGTCTTAGGGATTCAACACCAGAGTCAAAGACAGAAGTCCTCACCCAGGAGAGAAAAGGGATTGGGGGTGGTTGGGGAGCTGGGGAGCAGGGATTCACACCCCCTGTGTCCCACTCTGCTGAGGAGTGACAGATAGCTGGGGACCTTTGGTCTGTCCATTCTCAGCACAGAAGCTCTCTCCACTTGGGCTCAGGTTGGAAAGCTCCCTAAAAACTCCTGCTAGCGTCCCAGCATACACTGCCAAAAGCTCTTTATCGCCAACGACAACTTTATTGCAGCGTTTTTGTAGTTTCTGCACCGAGTGAAATGGCTCCAAAGAACCAGGTAAACATCCCACTGAAACCGTCCTCGAGCAAAGCCCAGTCCCTTGCAACTAACCACTCTTCTCACAGGTACCCCAAGAACACAATGCACAGGAACCCTACAGTGAAGAACAATTCAGGAGGTCTCCCGGATGCCAGAGCTGGGGTACCTGAAAGCTAACCTTTCTTTTCGCCATGCAATTGAGTCATTAAGCAAAAAATGTGCAGGGCTGACAGAGGATACAGGCAACCTGGCTCTGGTGGCGGGCCGCCCGCTGGGGTCCCCATTAGGGTCCCTACACTTCTAGCGCTGCGTGCCACAACCACCTAGCCCCCCAGGAACCAGGGTCCTTACATGTTCCAGCTTATCTTTTCTTCGGAGCCAGACGCTGGCGCTGTAGTCCTGCTGCTTGACACTGCTGTAGAAGTTCGCGCCCACTCGGGTCAGGCTGGGCGAGGGCTCCTTGGGGCGGCTTTTCAACCTCATCTGCTCGAAGCCCTCGTGGGGGGAGGCCGAGAGCCACTCGTGCTGCCGGATCTCCATCCTGACATGACCAGGCGGCGGCCCGGCGCTCAACCCACTCGGGATGGGAGCAGGGCGCCGCCGGCGAGCGAGAGGCCAGGCGGTTGGTGAGATGGAACTGAAGGAGAGAGCTGGGAGCACCGGGTGCAGATCGCCCGCGGAAAGCACGGGTGCCGACCGCTCGAGGGGTGCGCAGCGTGCAGGCTGGAGGCACAGGAGCAGGGACAGAGGGGAGAGGGACAGAGGAGGGAGGGTTTCACAGGGCAGGGGATGGGGGAGGGGGGGCCGATGGGGGGACCGGACAAAGGGAGACGGGGAAGGAGTGGATGCCTGATCCCGAGTGGCAGAAGTGAGGGTACAACGGAGGTGGCCGCGACGTCGCCTGCCGCTGCGGTCCCGGTCCCGGTCCCGGGCGGGAGCTCCGCTTGCGGCTGCTCCGCACCAACTGGAACCCCGGCCCCGGGGCGGGCGGGCGGCGGGGGTGGGGTGCGGTGGGAGGGGCCCGGCGGCCGAGCTGGAGCCCGCAGGTTGATGCAGTAAGGAGCCGCCCGAGGGAGGCGAGCGCTGAGTCCGGCCGCCGCCCTCTGCGCGCGCCTGTCCCCAGCCCGCCTGCCTCGCCCTTGCCCTCGCCCGCGCGGGTTCACGCCGACAAACCACCGAGCGGCTAGGGAAGTGAGCGCCGTCCGCTCGCGATTGTGACCAGGGCTCCGGAGGACACTCTGGGAAGCCACCACCACCGCCCCGCACCACTCTAGTTCGTTCTGATTCTACTGTCTCTACCCTTGCTCAGAAAGTTCACCAACTTCCCATCTTAGGAGCCCAGACATCTCACCCCAGGGGACTTGGCCGAAAGTCCCCCCAGAAAATGGTTTGGAGGACATGTATTTTTGTGAATCGTGCACTGTACTTAATCTGGAGTTGTTGCGAAGTATGCCTCTCTACCAGCGAGGGCAGCCCTCTCCTGTCCTGCTTGTTGAACCTGCCTCTCAGCCTTCAGTGTCCCCCTTGAATAAGGCTCCTGGAGGCTGGCGGTCAGGACCTGAGACCCCAGGAGAGGCCACCCAGCACCAACCTACACCGTGTGCTTGGCCTCTGTTCTTTAGGTGTGCGTCCCTGGCTCCTGTGCGGTTCTCTCTGCTGTTTCTAGGATCACAGGGGCTTTACCCCCAAACCCAGTCCAAAGCAACCAAGCCTGAGAATCAGGGTGACTAGTAAATAATTGAATTTTAAATTATTTATCTTTCGCTCTCCTTTAGCCAATGGCTAAAAACATTTTTTTTTAGCAGAAAATGGAACCTTAACTAGTGTTAAGGATTTGTGAGGTCCATTTAAAAGCCTAGAAATTCAATATAAATTTGAGGAGTACACTGGGGGTGTTGAAAAAGCTGCAGAGGGCAAACTTCTCTAGCCCTTGGCAGTACCCAATCACCAACGTTCTTTTTTTTTTTTTAAAAAAAAATATTTTTATTGAGCTATATATTTTTCTCCACTTCCCTCATTTCCTCTCCCCTCCCTTCTACCCTCTCCCAAGGTCCACACACTCCCAATTTACTCAGGAGATCTTGTTTTTTTCTATTTCCCATGTAGATTAGATTCATGTATGTCTCTCTTAGGGTCCTCTTTTTTTTCTAGGTTCTCTGGGATTGTGAATTGTAGACTGTTTTTTCTTTGTTTTATGTCTAAAAGCCACTTATGACTGAGTACATATTATATTTGTCTTTCTGGGTCTGGGTTACCTCACTCAATATGATGTTTTCTAGATCCATCTATTTGCCCACAAATTTCAAGATGTCACTTTTTTTCCACTGTGTAGTACACCATTGTCCAATCCCCAACATTCTTGCTCAGACAAGGCTTCACAGAGAGACATTCCAAGTTGGAATCTGCCAGACTTGTGAAGACAAGGATCTCCTATCTATTCTGAGCCCCATTTTGTAAGAATGGCTGGTGGTGGGGTGTGCCAGGGGGTCACTACTTCTCTACCAGACTCTCGTGACCAGGCCCTGGCTCACACTGCCTCTCCAAATGCTATGCAAAAATAATGGTTGAGATAGGATCCCTTGAGTAGTTCATGTGAGGAAGAAGTAATGAAATACAAACACACAGTTTTCAGCGCTGGCATCTAAACTACTGGACAGAGTGACTATGAGTTATTACCAAACCTTACAGCGAATTCGACAAGATAAATGTTATAAAGCCCCCTTTCCAGGAAGGATCTGAGATTGAAGAAGAAACTGCATTTTCAAACACAAGCCCTTGAGTCAGGCTTAAAAAATTGTGGAGGCTAAGTTTATAGTTCATAGCACAACTGTTTACGGAGCAAGACAAGGTCTTGGCTCCAGTCCCTACAATAATAGATTGAGAATAATCTACATTTCACTGTATAGTATCTTCCATTGTATACTACAAATAATCTATCATATTAATCATCATCTCTCTGTTTTTACATTACAATTTTTAAAGATAAATACACAATTCAAATGGATACAATTAAATATAATGGATACACACTGATTGCCTTTCCACAAAGAAAGCAACTGTCTATTTCTCTCTGAGATGATGCTAAAGATAAATATGTAATTTCCATACCTTGACATGTGTCAGATAGCCAATTCAGAGTAATAATGAAGTATCTCACTGCAGAAGAATTTGAACAAATGGTTTCCTGATCAAACCAGAGTCATATTTTTTATAAATTATGCTTTAATAGGTGAAAATACTAGGGAAGTGTCTATTATCCCCAATTTTTCAGGTTGCAAACACAGTGTGCGTTTCTTGCTACATACATGTGACAGTTAAGTACTGAATTAAGCATTGTTATCAACTCACAGGTAATGATTCCTGGGTTCAAAAACCATCAGGCATTGCTTCATGCTGCGCCTCATTGGCACGCCATACCAGGCGTAAAATGGACTCAGCGAGTCTTTGCACTTTTCCTCACAGCCTTTTCTCCTTTCGTTGACTCTGCTTCAAGCTGATTGTTTGTGACATAAGTGTGGAACTTTCCGACTGGTATCCAAAAGAACACTATATCAAATTGAATTGATCTCAACCATTGGAAGGAAGAAAAATATTTCCGAAGATGACCAGTTAGATAGATTGCAGCACTGGACAGAATATTAGGATAGGATTAATATTATGGAACGTGCAAATTAGTCCCGGAATACTTATTCCCGAGCATTTGCACAGCTGTGTGGCCTGCTGAATTCAGTGTAAACATTATGTGTAATTTATCCTACTAGCCCGCTGACTAGGCATGCAGATCCTTTACTCTGCAGATAGTGCCTCACGGACAATAATCACACAATGAACTGTGGAGAATAGATTGATGAATGTCAGCAGCCCATAATCCACCTTTGCTTCTTTTTTCTTTGAGAGAATGCAAACTTACAATACTCGGAGTGTAGGGCCCCACTAGATGGCTCAGTAGGTAGTGGCACTTGCCACCAAGCTTGACAATGAGAGCTCAATCTCTGAACTGTACGTGGTAGAAGGAGACAGCTACCTCCTGCAAGTTGTCCTCCACAGGCCCACCATGGGACCCCACCCCCATCCCCACCCCCATGCACAAGCAGAATATTATATGAGTAAAATATTCAGATTTTAGAACCACTGTCTTTAATTTCTTAGTTCTAACTGTTTCAGTTATTTGGTTTCCATTAACTTCGCGTTCATAAAGTAAATAGGGATGTATTAGTCAGCTTTCTGTTGCTGTAAGAAAAACCTGAGGAAGTCAGCCTGAAGAGAGGAAAGGCTTGATTAGGTTCAGAGTTGGAGGGCTTCATGATTTATTGCCTTCATTGTTAGGGGCCTGCTGTGAAGAAGCACATCTCAGCAGGAAACAAGCTGTTTGCCTCGCAGTGGGGAAGCAAAGCAAGAGGGAAGCAGCAGCTGAGGCCCCCACATCTCCTTTAATGGCATCCCCCTAAAGACCAGAATACTTTCACACGGGCCTCCATTTCTTAAAGGTCCACCACTTCTAATATGGCCAGAGGCTGAGGCCCAAGCCTTTAAACAAGCCATTTAAGTTTTCAAGGAACTCTTACTTAAAACCACACTGGAGGCCTGACTGCCGCTCACTCTAATGATTGCCGTGGGAATAGGGTGAGAAAATACTGCATGAGCTACAGAGCTCTTCCTGTTCTTAGAAACTCTAGGCACCAGAATGATCTCTGTATTATTGTAATGATAGCTGTCTGTCCCCTCAACGGTTGTACTACTTGAGTGACTGCAACTGTTTAATGCAGAAACCGCATTCAGCCGCAAACTCACATCTTGCTGATATTTGTATTTATTCTAGGAATACTTTACCTTAGCTGCATCTATACTTTAAAATCACATGGAATAGCAAATAAAACACATATCTATTGATTTCAAACCCAAGCTTAAAATGTGTCCTTGACTAGGACATGTTAATAATTGTATTAATTTAGCTATTTTGCATGGGCATGGAACCTAAGAAGCAACATGTTGAGAAGTGACAGCATCTTGTGAAAACCCTCACTACTTTGGTGATACCTGATATCTCCACCCTCTCTATATCTATGGCATGTGCTCACTCCATCTATCATAGCCCTTCTAAGGGGCAGATCAATGACCTGCAAATGCTCTTGCTATTTGCTATCAGTTCCATTCCCTCCCCCCACCCCGCGGTAGGAAATTAATGTTCAGGGACACTAAATAACTGCTCAAATCCGTTGTCTAATAAGTCACAATGTGAGGTGTAAAAGGCCAATTCACTGATTGAACGATTCTTTCTCCCATCATTCCAGATGGAAATCCTCAGAAAATTATTTCTTAGTGTATATGCACACTTGCGTGTGGGTACACACGTGTGTGGGCATGTGGAGCCCAAACATTGACACTGGGTTTTTTTTCTCAATTGCTCTCCACCAAGGTCTTTTCAATGAGCTGGGACTCAGCAGTCTGGTTAGACTACCTGGCCAGTGAGTCCATGGTATCCACCTGTCTCTGCTGTTCTCCTAGAGCTGTGTATGGATACCCATGCAAACCTCCAACAGCCAGCTTTTGATATGGGTGCTGGGCATCCAAGCTCAGGTCCTCAAGTCCTTGACCCACTGAGTCACCTTCCCAGCCCACTTCTCAATGATGGCATTTTAGAGATTTTTTTCATTGTAGTATGTGGTTGTTATATTTTTTTTTTACATATGTATTTTCATCAAGTACTACTGGGTTCTGTCAGAGGCTTACCACTAATGAATAAAAAATTTCAATAATTAGATCTTCCCTGATAAATCGTAATTATTTTTACACTATGCAAGTCTGTGCAGAAACACTGGCCCAAGAATGACTCTCCTCTTTGTTATCAAAGAACATATGTAACCGCTAAAATGGCATTGCTTCTCAAAATAGATGTTAATTATAAGCTTATTTCAGTAGAAAATTTAAATGAAGCACTCCTATTTGAACAAAATTAAAATATCCCCAGATTCAAAATGCTTTCTGAATGGATACGAAAAGCATTCATACTCACTGAGAATTGTGCTTTATTTTGCATCATTGTCTTTATTTAAAACGTTACTTTTGGCTAGGTAGAAAATAAATTTCTGAAAGATGTCAAATTACAAATAAAATAGGTCTGTCTACCTAC